TCTCTTTTCTCTGTCTCTTTTTTCTCTGTCTCTTTTCTCTTTCTCTTTTTTCTCTGTCTCTTTTTCTCTGTCTCTTTTTTTCTCTGTCTCTTTTTTTCTCTGTCTCTTTTTTTCTCTGTCTCTTTTTTTCTCTGTCTCTTTTTTTCTCTGTCTCTTTTTTTCTCTGTCTCTTTTTTTCTCTGTCTCTTTTTTCTCTGTCTCTTTTTTCTCTGTCTCTTTTTTCTCTGTCTCTTTTTCTCTGTCTCTTTTTCTCTGTCTCTTTTTCTCTGTCTCTTTTTCTCTGTCTCTTTTTCTCTGTCTCTTTTTCTCTGTCTCTTTTTCTCTGTCTCTTTTTCTCTGTCTCTTTTTCTCTGTCTCTTTTTCTCTGTCTCTTTTTCTCTGTCTCTTTTTCTCTGTGTTTTATATTTGATTTAAACTGTTCACTTAATATAAAACCTAAGGGCCACTCAAGGTAGTTCGAGGTTGTTGCAAATGAGGTGTGGTTAGGGTTAAGTGATTTTTGTTTTAAAGTTTCATCAGCTATTTGCAGTTTATTTGAAGCCAGAATATATAAGTAAAACGACTTGAATTCGGGCTCTGCTCTCAGGTTTCCAATTCCGACCCGTTATCCAGTACACCACTCGCACATCCAAGCTTACATCAACTGGTATTCCAAAGGAGGGGAGGAAATAAGAAATGTATATTATGATGACCTGTAGGATTAGCTATCAGTTGACCCTGCACTTGAAGTAACAAAGATTGTAGTTACCAAGGAAGCACCCTCTCGGAAGTTTGTTCCACAAAGTAACGGTTCTGGGACAGAAGCTGTTTGAAAGGAACTTGTTCCTTATGAAAGGAACACGAAGGAAATGATAATTTGCCCCCGTAAACATGGCATAGCGGTTCCTAGCCGCGAAGGTTTGAGCTGGTGGAACTAAAGATTGTAACTCGTCCTAATCTGTATTTACAGTTGTTAGATCCACTTGATTCAAGGATTACTATACCGTCTCCTACATTCTAGTTCTCGGTATCAAGATCGATGACAGAGGTGTACCCTTTAGACAAGAGAGAGGAAAATAGCCGTATAGTTAGAATCTCAGAAACATGACTTTTTGATGTTATCAGACTGGGGACGCGACCCCAGCATGCAGTAACATGGGAAAGTACTTGAAAACCATACCACGGATTAACCCTAGCCTTATGAGTGAAATTGGGCAAACGAAATTATTTGCGAGCAGTTGCTGGCTGCGCTTAGCATGAAGTCATAAGTCATCGTGACCGAGGGTTTGATTGTTCTGGCCTTGTTCAGACTTGATCCCGACAGATAATTCGCTGTCTCCGAGAAAATGTAACTGAGGTCCGCGCAGCATAGTTGCGGTATAAACCACAAGTGGGCTCTGTGGGCGTTGAACAAACACAAATGTTTCTGAGCAGGTGTCTGCAACAGGGATCGGTTAGCTGCCCTAGGAGACATAAATATTCGGATACGAGCGGTCGTTATTATATTATTATTTCCTTTGATTTCTGTTGTAGACACATTTCCTTCCGGGTCCCAACCAGAGACTTAAGGTTAGAAACGGCTTTGACATTTTCCACTGAACATTTTGAAAAAAAAAAAAAAAAAAAACTAGAACTAGCACACATTTTACATAGATAAAGCTCTTCGTAATGCGTGAGCTGTACTTCTGAGTACAATTATATATATAGCAATATTTTTTGTTTAAAAATGATTCCTTCGCTACATAAGAGTTCTCATGTTTCAAAAACGAGAGCCGAAACCATCCAAATAATTATTAAAATTAAGTTGAATTGAGGTTTTTAATCCCGTTTCATCTTCCAGCGAAATTTTAGGAATAAGCTTTCTCTTGGTTTACGTGTGTTTTTAGGCATGGTCCGTTACAAAATTCGTTATTGTGGGAGTGGCTAGGCGAGTTTTCTTCGTTAAGTGGTCAGAGAGTTAATTCTTATCTATAGATTCATCATCTTCTGAGAGGTTTTGCTCAGGTTTGGTAGGGTATCTATTTCAAGGCTAATGTTGGCGGTCATCCTCTAGTTAATTCCCAGTGAGGGATATTTTAATGGCGCGCCTACAAGTCGTTATGTGTCGGGAGTATTGTTTTATTATTATCTATCTATCTATCTATCTATCTATCTATCTATTTTTATTTATTTATTTATTTATTTATTTATTTTATTCAAGTGGGTGTTTTATATACAAATCGTATTACACTGAATTTCAATTTTTTTTTTTTTTTTTGACGACTACAGAAAGGGTTTAATGATTTGGCTAAGCTTTTAAGACTTTTATTAAACTATGGGATTTTTTTTTATGCCAATTATTTAATGCGAAAATTTGTTGATGTCGGCAGAAAACCGTTAACTCCTGCTTATGGTTTAATTATATATATATATATATATATATATTATATCTCTTTAAGATATGGGCTACAAAGAATCCCTTCAGTGGGTCTACCAGAACCATTCCAATCAATCCGAGGGTTCTAACTACCACTGGAATTATTGATAGACTTATGGTTATTATTGGATGCCAGAAAAGCGAAGGATGGTGCAAAAATAAATAGCAATAAACTTACTTCGAGCTGCAAAGGATAGCAAATTGTGGAGAGTTGTTCCAGATCCTGATGTGACATGTCACATAAAAGATGTTGAAAGTGATCAAAGCGACTCTTTCTCGTTCGAATAAATTTTAATCCTACTATTTGCCATGGAATAATAGTGTGCAATTTACAATAGACAAACCAGGAAAAATATCTTTTTTTTTTTTTTTAATATTAGGCTTCTTTCTGCTCGTGCTTGTATTCGATTGTCTTGTGCTCTTAGTGCCCCGATTCTGATATGTGGGGCCTTGGCCGATGTAATGTTGTGGGAATCCCGCGATGTTATTTTCGACTCCATACGATGAAGCTTGCGATCAGGATATAAGTGACGAAAGCCTGAATGTAATTAGTTACCATTCAACGACGAAGGCGAAATGTGTAGAGACTTTAATTCAGTGAAATGAATTATACAAGAGAAAAGGAAAAAAAATTAAGAACATCGACAAATAGACACCGAATAATAATAATAATAATATTGAATATAAATATGACAGTCATTGTGTGTTCTGGTTTTAATGCGTGTTATTTTGCATATATTTTTATCTAAGAGGAAGGGTTTGCCAAATGAAAGTATTTGTGTATTATATAAAGTATTCGTAAGCATTATATAATGTTCTTCAGCCGGCGAATAAAACAAGCGAGTACGCTGCCCAATAAATGCAACAGACATAGATGTGCATTTGATCTTGAAGCGACATGACTCTATGCATGTGACTATGTAATGTTGAATGATCCTTAATTCCATTCTTTCTAATGGACCAGTCTCGTTTTAACTTGACATAGTGACCTTTTGCAAATTCGAGAATGAACACAAAGTTAAATTATTCGAAAACTTTTCGAAAAATATTTATGGATTCAAGAAAATTTATTTATCATTCTTCATCTATTCATCTTCCGTTGTCTTCCTCTCGATTCTCCGATGCTTCTCTCTGTCTCTTTTTTGGTTTGATCTACCTCCCCCCCCACCTCTCTCTCTCTCGATCTGCCCTCCACCTCTCTCTCTCTCTCTCGATCTGCCCTCCACCTCTCTCCTCTCTGCCCCTCTCTCTCTCTCTCTCGATCTGTCCTCCACCTCTCTCTCTCTCTCTCTCTCGATCTGTCCTCCACCTCTCTCTCTGGTTCGATTTTCCCTCTGTTCTTCTCACATTATTACTAAAATACAGTATATGAAGTATGATTTTTGTTATTCGTTTAACAACATAAAATTTCAATCACATACACACAACAGATTCTCAGAACAGCCGAAATGTCCCATTTTTCGTTAATCCCAATATTTCTGGGAATCGAAGTTAAAATTCTCCACGCTAAAAGAAACCAAACAGAACAAAAGCTGTTAATTTGGTTCTAGTAAGAGGTACCGAAAACTTCAAGCTTATTGCAGTAAGTAATTTTCCTATTTCTTGTACTAGTAGACATAGAAAAAATCGAAAACGTTACATTGCTTTCAAAGTGCTGGTCGTATTACTAGCAGACCAAATTCCAGCGCGTGTTGGATCAAAGAATTGGAATTTGTAATAGGCATTTATCAAATAAGGAATGCTGGTCTAATGCTCGCTTCCTATAAGCTTGCAAAATTGACATTGTTGATCTTTTAACTATTATTCTTATCTATTTGGGGTCAGAAATGAATGACACAACGGGTAAGCATTTCCTACTACGATTAAGAAACTGAATTCATTTTTAAGTTGTTACAAAGCCTGTGGCGTAATTAACGAAGCAGTATATTCTTTACTGGTTCTATCAATGTTCAAACCTTGTTCGTGATTTCAAATGCTGGCTTTTAATGTTGGTGGTCCCTTTAATTCATTTGGCGCAGTACAGTCTTTCTCCATATGTCTTTGAACTGGACGAAACTGTGGTTAATGAATATCATCAATGACGTCATTTACCCCTGTTCACGCTCTTTCCTAAGGATAATAGTACAAAATAAACGTAGATTATCTCGATGGGTGTTTGAACTCTGTTCGCAGATTCCATTTTCTTCCTTCTGCTAACCTTTTTGCCACCGGCACTTATATATTTTATTTATAAGCAAACGTTTAGAAACAGCTACAGGGAGAGCTGTCCGAGTTTATGAATTCTCAAAAGTCTTTTGCGAGAAATAAGTTCCTTGGTTGTTTTTGTTTAGCAGCATATCAACCATTTGAAACTTAGTTAATGCTGAAATGTTGTATGCCATTTTGTTTTAGTTTTGGAAATAGTGAAACATATCTTATTAATTATTGCTTTAGTGAAACAAGTCTTATTAATTGACCTATAGATGGGGGGTGAAGAGATGAATTCATACCGTTTCTCAAGGGTATTTGCTTGTAAGTTAATATAACGAACCCAACTGGAATTGGAACACTGCTCTCCGATTAACAATTCATGAATCAGACAATACACCATCCGCACATCCAAATTTACAGCACCTGGTTATTCCAAAGCATTCACTCATCTAGGTACTGACCAGGCTCGACTTTGCTTAACTTTGGTGATCGTATGGCAACCGGTGTTTCAATGTGATGTAGCCATAAGCCCAGAAATAGATGTTTTTCATTTTAAATTGTCGTGTGATCAATTCTAATAGCTTTTTAGTGGTCAGTACAACCTTTCTAATGTTTATAGTAATCGTAATATTTGCCGTTTCTCTATAAGGAAACATTTGGCAGCCATTGACCGAGCAGTCGATTGAAATTTATCAAATCTTTCTCTTAAAACATTTCTGAGGAAAAGTAGCTGTTCGTTATTTACATTATTCGGACTATTGTCCTCATCTTTGTCACCATATTTATCACAACGTTTCGGCTGTTGTACGCTCCGGCCTTCTTCAGGTGGTTGGAATGTCGAACTGAACCCTTTCTTTCGCTCACTGGGGTAGACTGTTCTAGTTGCACGTGCCATGTTTGATGGATGTCAGTTATCAGTTATCTCCTGCTAATTCCCCTCTGAAAGTTCTCCACTACCTTAAACGGGTATTGAACTCACACTCTTTTGGGTCCTGTCACTGGATCTAACCAAAGCCTTTATCCACTCTGCCATGTGTCCTTGAGAACATCTGGGTATGAATTTCTGGGAGCGTACAACGGCCGAAACGTTGTGATAAATATGGCGACAAAGATGAGGACAATAGTCCGAATAATGTAAATAATGAACATAATACCTCATCTCAGAAATATAGACAGACTCCAGTAGCTGTTATCGCTCTTTCCATTATTAATAGGGGTTTCCTTTCTAACCTTCTATTTGAAGTTGTGCGGAATGTTAACATCTTCATTGTCATTATTTTCTGCTCGAATTACATGTGCTATTCGTTTTAGTTATTGCTTCTGTCCTCAAGTGATGCGGTTTCTATTATTTGGTACAGTTCTAGTCAAATCAGTCTCAAATTAATTTTCAGCCCCCACCCGGTTCAGCTGTTTTGCTTTCCATTAACTGCAGCTTAAGAAACTTATTTTCAATAACATTAATAGAATTTGAATTTTCTCGTTCCGGTGGGTATTAATTGGCTGGATAGTTTGTAAGCCTAAAAACAGGGTTTAGCCACAAACTTCGTTCGGTTTGTGTTCTACTTAATAAGCGAACTACATTTTTTCTCAGTCAAATACAATCTAACCGTAGATCGTCCTTAATTTTGCCAATTTTATTTTCTTTCTATAATCTCTCATTTACATCGGGTTGCTTAAGTCGAACGGAGTAGGTACAAGTATTGTGATGTGCCAATTTTCTAAATACTGTTTAAAATCTTGTCTGTAAAGTTTGAACTGATCACTGACTAGCACAACTCTGCCACGAAACACTCTCTTGTGCAATATTTTGTTATATTCTGTGCTAATAGGAATATATACTTGAAAAACACGGTGTATAAATAAAGGTTTATTGTAAAAACCAGTACAATAAGAATAAAGGTAACAGTTATGCGCATGATCGTCGCAAGTCAATTCAGTAGTGAGTGCTACTCTTGAGAGGGCGGTAGTTCTCGCATAAGTCTGAGTCGTACTCAACAGATCCCAGCTATTTTATCTACTAACCGCCCCACGTGGTCAGATGCAGCACAAGGCCGAATTTAATGTGGGGTATCAGAGCCCGTAGTCTCGGCCAAAAACTCCCGGTATAAAACGGGGTCGTGTAGCTGTTTCTCGGTACGAAACTCTGTCCTTCGATATAGCCTCGTCTGGGTATCCTCTATGCCCGGAGGCAGACAGTTTGACCAGTACAGCTGTAGACGATTCTCCAATTCTAACAGGTCCCAGTTAGAGTATCTAACAACTGCTCCACGCAGTCACATGGCCGAATTAAATGTGGAGTTCCCGAACTATGTATAGAAATATGGCAAGCATAAAAGGTCCAAAAGCGACATCCTCTGACCCAGCTGAGGCGCAAAGACCGAACCCATATGCTAATCTGGGTGGCCGACAGCAACCCCCCGCCATGGAATGTAGTAAAGGCACCCAATGGCATCTGATATGATAATCGCCTTCATTAATTGAGGGCGCCGCTGAAGTGTGTCCGGAATGAACATATTGCAGGTATAACCTTGTGACTGTTGCCATCTCAGGGGGTAGCAAATCTCGGCAAAGCCTCGTTCGGGTTCCTCTCTGCTCGGAGGCAGAGAGTTCAACCAGCACAGCGGAAAAGATTTCAGATCCCAGTTAGGTTCCGTAGTCCGTTGACTTACCGATACTTATAGGTAATTACTACCTATATTGCAGTTACTCATTAGGGTGACAGGTTATTCTATTACATCATATTTCCGACAAAAGGCCAAATAAAGAAATAACTTTAAGAAACTTGTGGTTTATGCACACCTGTTTACCTGACAAAGCGTATCTGCTTCAGCAGCCTATATCTTTGTTGTCAAACTGTTAAGGAAATGTGGTCTTCGTTAGATGCGGACAGGATTTAGCCGTTTGACCACGGTATAATTGCTGAGGTCTAAAAGCTGAGATTCTTCAGCGGCACCCTCAATTAATGAAGGCGATTATCATATCAGATGCCATTTGGTGTCACTTAACTTATCAGTCAATTTAGTGTACAGCCTTTACTGCCTTCCATGGGCGGGGGTGGGGGTTGCTGTCGGCCACCCAGATTAGCATATTTATACTAAGGCTTCGGTCTTTGCGCCTCAGCTGGGTCAGAAGATGTCGCTTTTGGACCTTTTATGCTTGTCATATTTCTATACATAGTCCAGATAAAAACTTCCACTGATCTCTCCATTGTCTAAATTTAGACTCCATTGAGCATGTACAGGATATGATGCAGTCCCTACAGCCACGCCTAACAAAGCTTACGTGTTGAAACACCGGTTCCCGTGCGATCACCAAAGTTAAGCAACGTCGAACCTGGTCAATACCTAGATGGCTGACAACTTGGGAATACAAGGTGCTGTAAGCTTGGATGTGCGGGTGATGTAAGGGAATTGTTAATCGGGGAGCAGAGTTCTAATTCCCGTTAGACTAGTTATATTGACTTTTAGTAAGATTTGTTTGATTTATTTCATTTTACGGTATATCAACCTCAATATGTTACTTAATGCCGACAAGATTTTTTAGGATGGGTTCGTATGAATATGTACTCTTTCTAAGAAATCAGTTTGTAGACCAGCTTTTGTATTTTTGTAACCAGGATTTTTGCTGATAATCAAATGTATTGCTTTTTTGTTTTTGTTGTTGTTTTTATCTATTCCTGGTAATTTTACGATAAAAATCTATACTTTCATAGTGTTTTGGCCTCGGTTGGAGGCGGTTAGCTATTTGGTCATAGCTGGAATCCTAACAGGTGCTACCATCTTGGGCCAGGATGGACCTGAGAACAACAGCAATTAAGAAGTAGTTCCACGCTCCTCAAAACCTCCCAATCAGATGCCTTGCTGCCGGATGTAGTTTATCGTCATACCCAGGACGAAGTAACTTGTATCACCAAAACCATTATCTAAAAAAAAAAAAATATCATATAAGATTTCTGCATTAAGTAACCCATAGAGGTGTTGATATGCTACAAAAGAAAAAAGCAATCAACCAAAGAGGTATAAATAAAAATATTCACGTAACGACCGAAGTACCTTATCGCTTTTATTTGGAGAAATAAGATAATTGAAAACAATTCCTCATTTGGAAAGAGCTCTTCAATTTATACCCGGGGGGTGCTGAAAACTGTGGGCTTGATACACGAAATCCATTTGACCAGAGTTTAGGGCAATGTGTCAGGACGAACACGTCATTACCCCCTTATTTAGAACTGTATGCTCACCCCGCTAATGAATCTTTAATCGTGTCCCGTAACCCGTTATGGCCGTAGAAACCTCACTTGTACTACAGCAGTGGTACGTCTCAGGCAAAGTACCCTGTCGAAGCCCATCCCTCTTCAGGCAAACTTAGAATTCAGTTTTCGTTCTCAAAGACTGGTTGCTACTGCAAAGCAAAATCTCATCGAGCCTTTAGATGGTTGGGGGGTGAAAAAGATGGCTTCATACCTCCCCTTTCGAAAGGTATTTGTGCGGGTGGGGAAATGATCTTAAGGTACCCCTGAAGTTCGAACTGTGCTCAACAATTTCTTTTGCAGAGTCGGTAACCGTTGACTTACCCATAAAAAAATGTCTGTGAATTTATAGACCGTCGCAAAGGAAATTTCTGTCAAATTTATATGTAAGTAAATAAGAGTGAAATCTTCTTGCACACCGTCAAGATTGAAAGTTGTACAGATCTCTCGACATGAATTCAAATAAAACGCATAAGCCTTCGGCAGAAGCACCTAAATCGATGAAAACATTTTAAAAAACGTATGCATGGTTCCACTAATTTCTTTATACCCATTTCTTTTGCTTCGCCTAGTCTGGTACAAGGCCGTAGAATTCGAGGATTTTCTCGGCATCGAACTCTATATAGTCGCGAATTCATCTTAGAAGATTGCCAACGATCACACCCCAACAAGCGTTTTTTTTTTTTTATTCATTAACATGTGATCGGTCTGATTCAAAGACCCCAGCAGTGGTACCCAACGAGCGAGGATCGAACGCGCTATATTAACTTCTCTCTTTGAGAAATGAGTTTCGGAACCTTCACGTTCATTTGGGAGCCAAAATGTGGGTGTCGTCATGTATTTGCTGTTAGTCTTCCTACAATTCAGCAAAAGTAATTTAAACGAACAATTTGTGAATTCAAATAACTAATCTGTATTAGCATTTACGATCGAAAGTAAATTGAACTTCCTTTAAAAAAAAAAAAAAATCCCCCCCCCAAAACACTAAACAAAACAAGATCTATAATGATTCTGTCATTTTCTCTATTGATTATGCCGTTCAGTTTTTCTTTCTTTCTGTGCTTCTATGCAGTGCGAAACTTTCTTTGTTTGTGATGAAGGCATGGTGTCTGAGAATTTGGTCGGATATTCGTAGAAGACGGAACGCTGGCCACATGTTCTGTTTACTGTCAGTAAATAGACATTGAAATCCATATTATTTGCCTTTTGAAAAGCTTCAATGAAATGCTAATTTCGAAAGAACGCAAAAGATATAAATAAAACGAAATTTTCGCAAATGCTTTGTTCTGCATAATTCTTGTGATGATTTTTTTTTAATAAGATCTGCATGTATTTTATTGGATTACGAATACGACTCTAGATTGTATTTTCAATATAGACATTTGTGAGGAAAAAAAGCATTAGCATAACCACAATGATATTAATAATAATTTAAAAAGATGCTAGAAAATGAATAGAAAATTATACCGCAAAGTGGGAGAATTGTTTGGGTGAGTTTCACACACACACATATATATATATATATATATATATAATCTCATCAATTATGATGAATTGAATGAACATTATAACATTTATACTGAAATGTATTTAAAAGCTATAATTTGCAAACCTCAGTTGTTGCCTTCCTTCAGTAAGAAAACAATTGCAAAGAAAATTGTTTATTTATATAGACAGATCAATAAGTCCGCAGCCTAATTAACAAAAATGTTCTATAATATATTCAAACAAGTCCTTTGTCTGTGCTTAACCCAGTGTGTGGGTATGTATGATATATATCGCTCTACTTAGCGTATTGAGCACTCTACTCGTTTTGTTTTTTTTTTCTTTGGACTAAAGATTTAAAGCACTTGGTGATTTGTTTTGTCTTCTTCTGATGTTTTTAGTTTTTTGTTTTTTTTTTTTTTTTTTTTTTTTTTTTTTTTTTTTTTGGGGTCCAATTTTTTCCTCAGGTACCGATTTGTCCTGACATATTTGCAAGTTGAGCTATCCGAGGTTTCCCAAACTAGTACTACTATATATATATATATATATATATATATATATATATATATATATATATATATATATATATATATATATATGGAGAGAGAGATATTAGTGGAAAAACATATACATATGCAAAATATATAAATACCCATACATGTATATTTTCAGAAAAAAATTTTTCCAAGAGAAAGAATCCAGGTAGAACTCAATATCTAGGACAGAGTAAGGATATAATAAAAAGGCTTAAACATTAATATTCCATGGTCATAATTTATTCCATTGGAATCGTAAATACGATCCAATTCTTCAGACCTACAAATTCAAAAAGAAAACAGAAAAAACTCACTCCGGAAGTAAAAACAGAATTTAGAGAAAGTGTAAGTATGAGGAGGAGGGAGATTGAACCTTAACAGAGAGAATTTTAGGAGATGTGGGGGGAAGGGTTTTAAATAAGAGAAGAGAATGAATGTCGACGGATGTCTAATGCATAAAGATACATTTCGTGGTGACATACACACACCGTGGACAATGTAGGTCTGATGATTTAGATCGTATTTACGATTCCAATGGAATAAATTATGACCATGGAATATTAGTGTTTAAGCCTTTTTATTATATATATTCGAGTCTAGAAGAATCTTCAACAGAATGCAGAAAGCACTGGACAGCCGTTTCGTTCTATATTTGAGACTCTCAACAGTGTGCATCCACTACCGAGAATCGAACCTGGACCGTTACGATACAATACCAACTGGCCTCGGCGACGAAGAGGTGACTAATTAGATTCTATATAGCGCCGCTCTTCACAAATTCCATTATCAGTTATCTAACGCCTTTATCCACTGTGCCATGTTCCATTGAGGACACATGGCACAGAGGATAAAGGTGTTAGTTAGATCCAGTGACAGGACCCAAAACGAGCGAGTTCAATACCCGGTTAAGGCAGTGGAGAACTTGGAGAGGGGAATTAACAGGAGATAACTGATAACTGACATCCATTAAACATGGCACGTGGAACTTGAACAGTCTACCCCAGTGAGCGAAATAAAGGGTTCAGTTCGACATTCTAACCACCTGAAGAAGGCCGGAGCGTACAACGGCCGAAACGTTGTAATAAATATGGCGACAAAGATGAGGACAATAGCCCGATTAATGCAAATAATGTACATAATACCTCATCTCGGAAATGTAGACAGAGTAAAAAACGTCATGTAAATTATAAATAAATACGTGTTAGAAGGAATGCAGTTAGGTTTGATCTCTTGTAGCTTGAACAGAAGAGAAGTTCTCATAATAAGATGGGCTTCTCTTATAAAAGGAAGTTTGCTACAGTTCAATCCGAACTCTCGACCAAATATGTTGAGATATTTTTATTGGTTTGGCACAAGATATCTGTTCCGCTAAGCATTAATTCACAAACACAAGGCAACATGTTCCGTATCGGCGGAGGATCAAATTTGTTCGCAAACTGGTCGACCAGATAGCCATCGAACAACGTCTTTTAGGTGTTATGCTCCTTCAGGACGTTAGCGATACTGGCTCTCTACAATTTTCTGTTCTTTGTTGTAAATTTTTTCTTTGTGCTATCTCTCCAAAACCCTGTTCTACCATCCATTTATGCAAGCCCGTTAAGTAGATTATGCGCGTTTTCCTTTGTCCAGCGGGTGTCAAATTTTCCAAGCCCTTTTTCCTCATTACGGGTCCTTAAAATTTCATCAACCTCTTCTTGACGTTAAACATAAGTGTCCTTTTTGTTTCCGTTCTCTATAAAACTTCGTCGTCGCTCACATGTTCGGTCCATAGTATTCTCAGCATCCTTCTGTAGCCTCTGGTCTTTTCTGTATCTGTGATAAGATTTCCAGCATTCATTGCCATATACTATTTTTTCCTATTTCTTAATACTTGGCTCAGCTTTTGGAAATCATTTCCGATATTCCAATGCCCTTTGGAATTTCGGTGTCATACATTCTCTCGTTAAAACACTTCCTAGATATTTATATTCTTGTACTTGCTTGAGTTTCGTATTTCTAATTTGTAATATTGATGTTGGGCTGTTCATTTTACTAGCAACATTGCCTTGTCTTGTTGCAATTGATGTTTATTCCTTTCTTCTCTCTTTCCTCTACGACATTCTTTAGGAATTCT